TGGTCGGTCTCCTTATGAGGTTTTGTTCTCCCAAATTCCTAATTACTCTCTCCTTCGTGTGTTTGGGTCTGCCTATTTTGTCCTTCTTCCCTACAAAGATAGGACCAAACTTAGTGCCCGGTCTGTCGTCTACGTCTTTTTGGGTTATAGTCCTACTCAGAAAGGCTATCGGCGTTACGACCCTGTTTCCCGTCGTCTTTACATCTCCCGTCATGTTTCTTTTCTCGAACGTCTACCTTACTTTCATCTTCCTCCTCTCACTACCCAGTTTCCAAAGAGGATTCAGTTCATATTGATTTGTTTCCTTCTGAGGTCCCGACTGATGAGTACATCTCCACAGTTCCTCTTGAGCTTGTTTTATCATCTCTTCCTATTTTACCTCCAGATGCTTCTCTTCTTTCTGTTTTTTCTCCTTCTCTGTTGTTAGTTCATTCTCGTCGCAAGGCTCCTCCTCCACTGGTTATCTCTGCCCTTGCTGCTGATCCTTTTGCTTCTGATGACTCTGATCCTGCTGCACACCAATATCCTACTCGAGCGCGTCATCCTCCAAACAGGTTGGGTTGGTCTAATACATGTTTTTTTGCTTCTTATCGTACTTTTTTTGTCTACTATTCACTCTTTTTCAGAACCTCAGTCTTACAATGAAGTCTATCAGGATCCTCATTGGGTTCAAGCTATGGAGGATAAGTTGTATGCTTTACAGAAAACTAGTACTTGGGAGCTGGTTCCTTTGCCTGCTGATAAGAATCTGGTTGGTTGCAAATGGGTCTACAAAGTCAAGACTCATTCTGATGGTTGTCTTGAGCATTACAAAGCTCGTCTGGTTTCCAAAGGTTTCTCACAAGAGTATGTATTGATTATGAGGAGACCTTTGCTCATGTTGCAAAGATGACTATTGTCCATACTTTGATCTCTGTCACTGTTGTTCGTTCTTGGCCTCTTTATTAGATGGACGTTAAGAATGTTATTCTTAATAGCCATCTCACTGAGGAGGTTTACATGCGTCCTCCCCCTGGCCTTCACCATTCCTCTGGACAGCTATGTCGCCTTCGGTGTGCTCTGTATGGTCTGAAGCAGTCTCTTTGTGCTTGGTATGATCGCTTTCAAACTACTGTTACTAAGCTTGGGTTTCGTCCATGTGCCCAGATCTCTGCTTTATTTCTTCTCCACACCTCTACTAGATTTGTTGCGTTATAACTGTATGTGGATGATATGATCATCACTAGTTTTGACTCTTCTGTTATATCTAAGGTCAAGTAGCATCTTTTCGGCATCTTTGAAATGAAGGATCTGGGCCCATTTGCGGTATTTTCTTGGTATTGAGGTAGTTTCTTCTCCCAAGGGCTACTTACTCTCCCAAGCCAAGTATGCCAATGAGGTTATTTATCGTATCGGTCTTACTGACACTAAGATTTCTAATACCCCCATTGTGCTTAATGTAAAGCTTAACACTACTGATGGTGTTCTTCTGGATGATTTTACTCTATATCGAGAGCTCATGGGTTACTTAGTCTATCTGATGGTTACTCATCCAGATCTTGCCTATGTTGTTCATGTGGTTAGCCAGTTTGTCTATGCTCCTTGCTCCACACATTGGGCTGTCTTGGTTCAAATTCTTCGCTATCTCGGAGGTACTATCTTTCAGAGTTTACTATTGTCCCCTACTTCCTCTCTGGATTTGGTGGCCTATGCTGATTCTGATTGGGCTGGTGATATTACTGATCGCAAGTTCACGTCTGGTTTCTGTATGTTTCTTTGTGATTGCTTGATCTCTTGGAAAACCAAGAAACAACCTGTTGTTACTCGTTCTACTACCGAAGTTGAGTATCGTGCTATGGCTCATGCTACTGCTAAAGTTGTCTGGCTTCATTATCTTCTCTCTAACTTGGGCATCCCTCAATCTTCTCCGACCTCTCTCTATTGTGACAACCGCAGTGCTATTCAGATTGCACATAACACTGTCTTCCATGAGCAGACCAAGCACATTGAGATTGATTGTCACTTTGTTCGTCAACATCTGCAGTCTAGCTCTATCTCGCTTCCTTTCGTGTCTTCAACTCTGCAGCTTGCTGACTTCTTTACCAAGACTCACCCCACTGCTCAGTTTCAGTTTCTTCTCGGCAAACTTTTAGGTTGCGTTTGGTAGAGCTTTAGAATTATGATTTAAGAATAGAGTTGTATTTTGAGTTTGTGAGTTTTGGAATTATGATTAGAGAATAGAGTCTTATTGTGAGTTTGTGAGTTTTGGAATTATGATTTGAGTGTGGAAAATTTGTTTGGTTATGAGTTTTAAAAAAAGTTTGAATTGAGTGATGTGACATCTAATATCGAAAAGTGGGTGTTTTGAAAAGTGAGTGTGGAATTAATTTTTTAAAGCTATAACCAAACAACACACTCAAACCAAGGTCCTCCTCCACTGGTTGTCTCTGCCTTTGCTGCTGATCCTTTTGCTTCTGATGACTCTGATCCTGCTGCACACCGATATCCTACTCGAGCGCGTCATCCTCCAAACAGGTTGGGTTGGTCTAATACATGTTTTTTTGCTTCTTATCGTACTTTTTTTGTCTACTATTCACTCTTTTTCAGAACCTCAGTCTTACAATGAAGTCTATCAGGATCCTCATTGGGTTCAAGCTATGGAGGATAAGTTGTATGCTTTACAGAAAACTAGTACTTGGGAGTTGGTTCCTTTGCCTGCTGATAAGAATCTGGTTGGTTGCAAATGGGTCTACAAAGTCAAGACTCATTCTGATGGTTCTCTTGAGCATTACAAAGCTCGTCTGGTTTCCAAAGGTTTCTCACAGGAGTATGGTATTGATTATGAGGAGACCTTTGCTCATGTTGCAAAGATGACTACTGTCCGTACTTTGATCTCTATCACTGTTGTTCGTTCTTGGCCTCTTTATTAGATGGATGTTAAGAATGCTTTTCTTAATAGCCATCTCACTGAGGAGGTTTACATGCGTCCTCCCCCTGGCCTTCACCATTCCTCTGGACAGCTATGTCACCTTCGGTGTGCTCTGTATAGTCTGAAGCAGTCTCCTTGTGCTTGGTATGATTGCTTTCAAACTACTGTTACTAAGCTTGGGTTTCGCCCATGTGCCCAGATCTCTGCTTTATTTCTTCTCCACACCTCTGCTAGATTTTTTGCGTTATTACTGTATGTAGATGATATGATCATCACTGGTTCTGATTCTTCTGTTATATCTGAGGTCAAGTAGCATCTTTTCGGCATCTTTGAAATGAAGGATCTGGGCCTATTTGCGGTATTTTCTTGGTATTGAGGTAGTTTCTTCTCCCAATGGCTACTTACTCTCCCAAGCCAAGTATGCCAATGATGTTATTTATCGTACCGGTCTTACTGACACTAAGATTTCTAATACCCCCATTGTGCTTAATGTAAAGCTTAACACTACTGATGGTGTTCTTCTGGATGATTCTACTCTATATCGAGAGCTCGTGGGTTGCTTAGTCTATCTGACGGTTACTCATCCAGATCTTGCCTATGCTGTTCATGTGGTTAGCCAGTTTGTCTCTGCTCCTTGCTGCACACATTGGGCTGCCTTGGTTCAGATTCTTCGCTATCTCGGAGGTACTATCTTTCAGGGTTTACTATTGTCCCCTACTTCCTCTCTAGATTTGGTGGCCTATGCTGATTCTGATTGGGCTGGTGATATTACTGATCGCAAGTCCACATTTGGTTTCTGTATGTTTCTTTGTGATTGCTTGATCTCTTGGAAAACCAAGAAACAACCTGTTGTTGCTCGTTCTACTACCGAAGTTGAGTATCGTGCTACGACTCATGCTACTGCTGAAGTTGTCTAGCTTCATTGTCTTCTCTCTAACTTGGGCGTCCCTCAGTCTTCTCCGACCTCCCTCTATTGTGACAACCGCAGTGCTATTCAGATTGCACATAACACTGTCTTCCATGAGCAGACCAAGCACATTGAGATTGATTGTCACTTTGTTCGTCAGCATCTGCAGTCTAGCTTTATCTCACTTCCTTTCATGTCTTCAACTCTACAGCTTGCTGACTTCTTTACCAAGACTCACCCCACTACTCAGTTTCAGTTTCTTCTTGGCAAACTTTTAGGTTGCGTATGGTAGAGCTTTAGAATTATGATTTGAGAATAGAGTTGTATTTTGAGTTTGTGAGTTTTGGAATTATGATTTGAGAATAGAGTCTTATTTTGAGTTTGTGAGTTTTGGAATTATGATTTGAGAATAGAGTCTTATTTTGAGTTTGTGAGTTTTGGAATTATGATTTGAGAATAGAGTCTTATTTTGAGTTTGTGAGTTTTGGAATTATGATTTGAGAATAGAGTCTTATTTTGAGTTTGTGAGTTTTGGAATTATGATTTGAGTGTGGAAAATTTGTTTGGTTATGAGTTTTAAAAAAAGTTTGAATTGAGTGATGTGACATCTAATATCGAAAAGTGGGTGTTTTGAAAAGTGAGTGTGGAATTAATTTTTTAAAGCTATAACCAAACAACACACTCAAACCAAGGGGTAAAATTAAATTTCAAAAGCTCTACCAAACAGAGCCTTAGTATTTTCTGCCCAAACACCTTGAGTTTGAGCGGGGTGTGAGAATAATATTAGTTTAGGTTTATTCTGTGAATATTGTTTCCTATTTAGGATTAGGTCTATTGTTTCCTATTTAGGATTAGGTCTAGAATTGCTATATATATCAGATATACACATTGAATTAAAAAACACAATTGAATATATAGAAAAGCTTTCAGAAATCTAACAACGTCCTCACATAATTCACCATTAGACAGCAAATTGTATGTACTCTGTGTTGCTAATAGAATTCAACTGAGAAAATGGACATGAACATACCAATGCAATATTGATGCTTTTGCCTTCAAACGTGAGAGAATTCCATAACTGTCTAATTATAATATTCTGATCATATTTTCTATCTCTCCTCGGTGGCTGAAAGGAAAAGAAAAAAAAAATGATAGAAATGCTAATTATTGCTATACAAACAGAAATTTCAATGCAACGAAAAAATTTCCATTTAATGTGAGAGAACTACATTAATGTTCTGATGACATTTTTCTCTACGTCCTCAATGGATGAATTGTTTGTGTGAAGAAGAAAAAGAAAAGAAAAAATTTTGTACATATAAATGGTAATTACTTCTTTACAAAATTGTGTTTTGCTGACATATCCTGGCATTTCCTCTATAATGAATCATGAGGATCCACCCAATTGAGAAGTGAGATTGATGAAGATGACTTCTTTGCAGGGAATGGTGAAACCGCCCATTGGACGATCAAATCCAAACTCTTCCTCAGCTTGGCTTAACAAGTCTTGGAATGAAGGCTGGTTCAAGTATGATATCGGAATCACAAATTGCTTATTTTCGCTCTCTCCAACATAAACTGCTACATGGCCTTTTGGGACATCTACAGCTGCTGATGAAGCTTCTTGGTTTGCCTTCGATGATGAAGACTGTCGGAGGATATGTTTAGCATGAATAATACAAGGCATACGAATAGCCATTTTTCTCAATGAACAAGGAAAAGAATAGAGAGGACTTAGTAGAAGTGGAAGCTTGGCAATGAAGAATGTCAAGGTTCAAGAATTGTGTTGGCTGTGGTGTAGAGTAACTTCTTATATGTGTACATATAGATGGAAGGTGATGTGGGTTATCCTCTGAAATGTGGAATGAGTGGTGAAGGGGCATTAGAATATTGGGGTTTACTGAGAGACATCAGTAGCTGAAGGAACACATGGTTTTGTCTTCAAATTCATTATCAAGAATTTTAAGCCATAGAATGGACCAAACTGCTTGTTAGTTGTAAAACATCAATGCCCTACTGTAAAACATCAATGCCCTACCACTTCTAAGATATGCTTCAGAGGCAACCAAGCTCTCTCTTTTCTTCTAGGATGATATTAAATTTTTACACAGTAAATGTTAAACTTTAGTAGTTGTTAAAATTATAAATGCATTTTTTTCTCCACAAAAGAAATAGTATGTAATCTTCTTCTTTTTTCTATTTTTTTTAATGTGAAATAAATAATTGTTGAGTCAAATAAAGTATATTAGATGTTATGGAGTTCCAAAAACCAGTAAAAGATTGATCTATAGTTAAATGTCTTCTTTTCTATTTGGAGAAATGCAGTGGATGCTAACAAATGATGGGCAATCACTGGCAATGATTTGAAAGCAGTATAATTACCATTTCAGGGGACTTTGTTTGATTTTTGTTTCAGGTCCTCCAAAATTATACACATGAATGATCAACAATTTTGCTGCTACATTTACTTTGAATTTTTTTTTTTTTGCTTTATTTCTGGGGTGGTTAGTCAAGGCTAATATACACATCATGACAAAACAGTGAAGGTCCACTTGAAATAACTATTTCCCATTAGTAGTAAATTCTCAATCTCATCTCATTCTTTCATTTTTTAATCGAGGGCTTGTTTGGTTTACACTATTTTTCTGAAAATTGAGTTTTTTTATTTTTTGTATTTTTTTGGTTTTATTGATTTTTTAAAACATTTTATGCAAAGTTTTTATTTTTTAGATACACCTAATCTAGATACACTTAAAAAGTATAATATTTGTGAAAAAAAAAAAAAAGTAAAAATTCACCAAATACAAAAAAATTCAAAAATTTATATTTTTGTATTTTGTTGTATTCAGTGAATTTTTTTAAAGATTCTTGTACAAATTTTATACTTTCTAAATATATCAAGATTGAGTGAATCTACACCAAAAAAAAAAAAAAAAATGAGAGAAAATCCAAAAAAAAAAAAAAAAAAAAAAAAAAAAAAAAAAAAAAAAAACATGATTAAAATATTTTAAAAAATAGTAAAAATACAAAAATACAAATTAAAAATTCAGAAAACTGTAAACTCCAAACCAAACATTCATTCAGATCTTTACAACTAAAACTCTGCCAAAAAAAACTCTCATATCTTCCTAATTTTTGCATGCTATTGTAAATAATATTCAAAGGGTCTTTGAGCCTTGTCCTGTCTCCATATTGGTTTGAACAATCTCATTGATCAATGACCTAAAACTGTCTGATTGTTTAAGCAACTATTTTTTTATTGAATAGTACTCATAGAGAGGACAATTCAACTATAAATTCTTCAACACCCATTTTAGATTTTTTTATGATCTTTAGCAGTTGGACAACCCTTTCCTTCACAAAAGCAATCGCTGTGTTTGGTTTGAGTTTTCTGAATTAAGTTTTTTGAAAATTGAGTTTTTTGATTTTCGTGTTTTTTTGTTTTTAGTGAATATTTTTAAAATTTTAAACATTTTTTTTACTTTTTTAGATGCACCTTACTTAGATGTGTCTAAAAAGTAAAAAAATTGTGAAAAAATATTTTAAAAAATTAAGAAATACATAAAAATACAAAAAAATGTACTAAATTCTTGTATTTTTTTATATTTTTGGTATTTAGTGAATTTTTACAAGATTTTTTTTACAATTTTTTTACTTTTTAGGTGTATTTATGTTGGGTGTGTCTAAAAAGTAAAAAATTTGCATAAAAAATTAAAAAAATTCAGTAAAAACAAAAAAAACGGAAAATAAGAGTGTAGAATTTTCTGAAAACTGTTTTTAAAAAATGGGAACCAAGCAAAGTGTAGTAAAGAAACATTTTTTTTTTAAAGAAAAAGAAAACAGTAAAGAGAAAGAAGAGTAAGCTGTTTGATGTGAATAAATAAAATTTAATTCTATTTTCCTTTAGGAACCATATAAAATTTTGACATTGGATTTACATGAGATGATGAAACAAACAGATTCTACTGATACAAAATTGAAGAAGTTAGTTTTCCAGGTCAATGGCGTTGAAACTATATTAGCAATTTTTTCCTTCAATTGAGAAAATGAACATGTAAACAATCCAGAATGTATAAAAACAAAAAATTCAATGGAATGAAGCTTTTGCATTTAAATGTCAGAGAATGCCATTAATGTCTATCTATAATCTTCTGATGACATTTTTTTTCTTCCCTCCTTGTGAAAAAGAAAAGGAAATTGTGTGTTTATACATAGAAATGGCGATTACTACTTTGTTACAAAATTGTGTGTTTGCTAAAAAATGCTAGCAAGTGTCCTCTATGATGAATCATGATCCACCTAATGAGGGATCATGAATCACCCAATCGAGAAGTGAGATCAATGAAGATGTCTTCACTGCAGGGTATGGTGAGACCACCCATTGGATGATCAAATCCAAATTCTTCCTCAGATTGGCTTAACAAGTCTTGGAATGAAGGCTGGTTCAAGTATGATATGGGAATTACAAATCGCTTCTTTTTGCTCTCTCCAACATAAACTGCAAAATGGCCCTTGGGAACATCTACTGCGGCTGAGGCTGCTTGGTTTGCTTTCAGTGATGACGACCGTCGAAGGATACGAGGCATACGAATAGCCATTTTTTTTAATTGGGAAGATATGTATTCCTTAACAACAAGAAAGAGGAATGAAGGACTTGCACAACAAGGGAAAGCTTTGCAAGAGAAGAACGTGAAGGTTGTGTTGGCTTTAGACTTGTTGATGTGCTTATATATATCAAAGTTACGTGGATCTACTGATGGACACTAGCACATGAAGGATCACATGGTTTTGCCTTCCTACTAATCAATATCATTAATTTTGAATAGAACATATGTTAGCAAATTCTATTTGGTTAGCATTCTCAAATGAAGTGTGTGGTGAAGAGACTATTGCATTGTGGTCCCTTGAAGGACATATGAAATGAGGTACCACATGGGTATGCCTTGCAACAAAAAAATACTATGTGATGTTTGTGGATCTGCAGCAAATTAGGCCAAATGGATGAAAAACTAATAGTAGGGACTTATGTGTGAAATACATCTAACATCTTCATTACGCAACCCATATGTGGCTGTCTTACATATTTGGTTGAGAAATTGTGGTCAAGTAAACACCAATGCAACTGGTGTTGACTGTGTTATGGTAACACCAGACATGGGATTGCACAGTTGAGCTGCTCATGTGACAATGTTCCTTGACATATGCGAGTGTGAACCCGTGATGATGTGAGCTTGACCTGAATTGGGGAGGGAGGGTAGGTTGAGTAGAAGCACTAACACAAAGCTTCATATATGTTGTCTATGATGCTATCCTCTTAATCGTAATTGATCAAGATACCAAAACTTGTAAGGTGTAAATTGGGTAACGTTCGGTTCAAGTAATTAAAATGATTGGCAGTATCTTATGAAGAAACGATACAAGCAAGGGTACAGGTACGGGTACCTTATCAGAAAAAAACTTACAATACGAATCCAAACTTCTTTTCTTTTCTTTTCTTTTTTTTTTTTTAAAAAAAAATAAAAATTAGAGGAAAGATGAAAAGAAGTGAACCCCAAGTCCGAGTACAAATCCAAAAGACATATTTAATAGTTTTTTTATTGATCAAAGTTTGTAGAAATTTGAGATCTAAATCAGAGATCAAGATGAGACTAACAAAAGTTCCCCTCTTGTAAAGTATTATCTTAAAGTTATTGTCACATGAGTTATCAGCTCATATGACAATATTGCTTAAGAAATACAAGGAATTGGTGATAATTTGAGCTTGGGGCCCAAATGTAGATTGAACATAAGCAGTACAAAATGAACCGAATGCATGAAATTGTTCTATGTTTCTAACTCTAACAAAATTTGGCATGGACCAATAGTCCCTGCAAGCCACTTGCATTATCATCGGTATATATCCCGAAAATCAAACATTTTGATAATAATTGATTTTGCATAAATGAATGCTTGAGTGATATTTCACATCCTCAATGCATATATGAGAACTGTGAGCTCATATAAGCTAAAACAACATAAGATTCACCTTGTAAACATTTCAGAGGAAAGAGTAAATATGCAATTACAAAGTTGAACTGTCGGGACCATAATTTTCAATTCAGGAAAATAGTCTCTCCAAAAATGGTAGTAAGGCTGCATACTTCTTGCCTCCCTAGACCCTACTTTAGTGGGAACCTCGTGCACAGGGTGATGCAGGACAAGATTCTAGAGTTTTCTATATTTTTATTTTAATATTTTTTTTAATATTGTATTTAACAAGTATTCTTGTAATTTAGCTAGAATTAGTAGGTTTCTTAATTTGTCTTTATTTTGTTTTCCTAATTTTAGGTTACTTATTCTCCAATATTAGACTAGTTAAGTTGTTTCTGAATTTTAGATTATTTGGTCTCCAAGAAAACTAGGGTTGTAAGGTTCGGATTATTATAAATAGGTATGTAAACCTCATGGAAAAGACTACTTTTATTCAATAAGATTCATAATTTTCTCTTCCTTGTAGATTCAAGGTTTTATTTTCTCGTGGATTCGAGAGCCCTTTTCGTTTACTAGAACGATATCTAGTCCCTCGTGTATTCCACTGCGTAAAGAGATATTTTGAGTACTTCAATTGCTTGCCCCTCTTCCAAAAGTTAAATGTAGAAGTTTTCTTTCTGAAAGTTCTCCGTATGCTTCAATTGGTTGACAAGATCAATTAGACAAGTATTGAAAATCAAATTAAATTGCTCCACACCAAGAAAATC